TTTGGTACGTTGTTCATTTTAGTCAGTGAAGTGATAATTGGCAATTTTGGTCTCACGCTTATATTCACTTAAAACTGTCATTGGAATCCGTTCTGATATTGGCATCTGTTTCAGCCTAATTGCGTTTTGTTTAACTATGCACTTTTGGGTGCTGTGGGAAAATTAACGATATTGCTTGTTTTTCTCTTTGGAGTTAAATTTCCTTTGACATTAGGCTATTTCATAAAGACTGAGTGAAATTTGTTGCTAGGATTATTTCGGGATTAGTTATAACTAGTATAGGTAATAGCATGATTTGTAGTGATATTTGGCATAAATACCACGAGTGATATTTCAAAATTGTTATACGTAATTTCACGAGCCGTTAGGCAAGTGAAATTTGAGACAATTTTGAAATATCACGAGTTGTATTTATGCCAAATATCATTTACAAATCATGCTATTATTTGTTTATACTACTACCCGCAAAAGGTTTGTAATTTTTCACATGTAGGTCTTTCAAATTAAGCCGAAATACCACTGCTCTAAGCCAATCAAATTACAGTAATTTTTTATGTAGTAGTATAAAAACTGAAATAGTCGTGAATTGAATAAAACCTGGAGAAATCTTTCCTTTACAATAGGTCTTGTATTGAAAGACAACCTATAGCTACCTATTTTATAGTGCTAATTAAAAGTTTCATTAATTCTCGTAGGAACATGTCGCCAGCTACAGTTCTACGGCACTGTTCATGGAAAGCGCCTCAAAAATCACTTGATTCGTACTGTTGACGTCACTGGTGAACGACCCTGCCGGACTTTGTGCTACATGGAACCAAACTGCGTCAGTTATAACTTTAACAAAGTCACAAGGAAATGTGAGCTGAATAATTCCACTTTAAGTGAAAGAGGGGGAAGAATGGAGACAAATCCTGATTATGTATACTGTGAAGCTGAGGTACAAATTATCTACTTAAAGGAAATAAGCTTACAGCCCAAGGAAATATTAAGGGATGTCTGTTTTCTTTTCTTGTCCCAGAACGGATGTGCGAATAAACCTTGCAAGAACAAAGCAACCTGTCAAACCGGTTTTACAGGTAAAGGCTACCGCTGTTTGTGCCCTGCTGAATTTGACGGGGATCACTGTGAGAATGGTAAGTTATTGAAAATAATGGATAATTTGGATTCACCACCATTTTTCCAAGTTTCTTGCAAAATACGCTGGAATAACGTACAAAATAATCTTCGAAAATTAAGGCTGAAAGGCATGACTTAACTTTTTCGCCGTTTTGTAAGCGATTTCAAGTTCCCAAATATCCCGACGCCTTGAAGTTTCAGACTTTCAGTGCAGTTTCTACTCGTTCTACAGTTCGAATATTTTTTACAGTTTTTACGTCAGTTTTTGTATAGTCAATTTGAATGGGCATAGAAATAAACGGATAAAATAAATGAATCATTTGACATTTAAGATATCATGTCCACGAAGTTGTGGATCGAATTCGGAATTGAGAAATGCTGGTGTGTGGCCATTTTCAACCTGAGTCTTCTGTATTTTTGTTTTCCGGAGTAGGTACCAACCATGAATTTCTCGTGTTTTTCCTCTGATTAATATAGCCATAGATTGATAACAAACTGTTTTTGTAGACATTGACGAATGTGCCATAAATACCCACAAGTGCGGTGCCAATGCCATCTGCAATAATACCAAGGGAGGATACAACTGCACTTGTCATCCGGGATATTATGGAGATGTAACGAATTGTGAACCAGGTGAGATGGCAGCATTCGTATCACGGCAAATTAGATGATGCTTGACAATTTGTGTTATAACTTACTGCATTACACACACACACACTCACTATCTGTCTTCTCATTGGCTAAGAGCCTACAGTTAATTTTGAAAATAAACGCAATCTACAGATTATATCTGCTAGCAGATAGCTGACAAATCTGTACGTTGCGCGTGTAAAATAACTACTAGCTAGATTCGGTTTTGTGATATCCGAAGTAATCGACGCGACCAACCAACTGGATGTACGACTTATGACTCGCACGTTGAAGCATCTTAGAATCTCTATTGATAACCTTCCTTCTTTTATTTTGTGACAGTTTCATCGTGTAAAGAACTTTTTGACAAGAAAATGTGAGTAAAAACTACCAATTTATATTTTTTAGGTTAGCACGTAAAATGACGAAAAATGTCCCTGTTTTTTGACTCTGAGAGGTCGGGTAGGTCGGGTACTTCCGGGTGGCACCGTCCAGGTATGAAAATCCTGCAACCTATCAATTTTGGTTTATCACGTGATATATGCCATTCAACTATAGGTTAATTGACAGCTGTCAAAATGTATCACCCACTGACCTGTATCACAGAACTGTGTCTTGGGCTTGAGTACACTACTCATCGAAATGTAATTTTTTTAAGGGCACCCGGCGACTTTTTTCTGTAAAATAGCTGTTCGAAGGAGCAGATATTGCCTAGAAATTTATAAAGTTTGAGAAAAGCTAACAATTTCGGGTTTACCGTTCTATTCGACTAAAATATTCGGAGGTTTTCCAATAGGTTAACAACGATTTTCGAAGGTTGTGCTATTCACATTTTAATACCAAGATATTGCGATTATTGTTATTAAAAGGTCTCCTAAAACTTTCGGTATAAAGACAAAACGTCCCCTTATATAAGTTTCTAATGAAAGGAAGGCTCCTTCATGTCCTTAAACTTTCGACCAGACCTATAAGGGTAGCTAACACTTTCGGATGAGACGAAAAAGTCACTTATAACTTTCGTGATGACCAAAGTTCCAAAAGACATTCGAACAGATAAATAGTTTTTCGGGGCAGCTCCAAATTAACCAAACAGGCTTCTAAAGCATAGAGAAAACCATCTGAGACACTTCTGGCGTATTTGGAAACAGTCGGTCTTTTGGTGCCCCCGTTTATTTCAACTGCATTGGTTAATTAAACTTTTCAAGTAAATCAGATGGTTTGTATTTAACAGACCGGTCCCACTTTTATGTTTGCTTAACTTAACATTTTAGAATGATAATTCCCAGTACATATGATGGTGGTGTAGCCTCACACTCAGGCGTTTTCTGGGGAGCTCGTATTTAGTCCCTTCCCACAAACCCCTGCTCAACCGAGAACAACATTCCTTTCCCATTGTTTTATTCGCGTATTATTCGCGTGACCAATCAACAGTTTTGAAATAAAGTGTTAACAGGCTGAACACGACTCATAAGCTCGTGGTAGTATGAAAACGTGACCCTAGAGTTACCGTTTTCCTTCTTTTCTTTCCTTCGCTAAGGTTATGAAGTGCACGGAGCATACAAAATCTGACTGAATCTTACTTTTGCCACTCTGAGTCTAACGTTTATTAGAGGTCATAAAGCTTTCCCAGTATTTCATGCTGATCGAGTAGTTATTGTGTTACCCTGCGGTCAAGGTCAACTTCCAGAACTTGGAAAGTACCATGTAATTGGCTAAGCTTGGGAAAGGAATGTTGTGCTCGGTTGAGCTGGCGTTTGTGGGGAAGGACGAAATAGCGTGAAAGGCTAATGGTGGTGGTGCCACAGGTGAATCTTCAGATACCTACAGTACATAGAGACGTCTCTGGAGAGACAGATTAGTAGTTGACGAACCAACCACTCGTTACTGGCAATTGAACTGTAGATTATCGTCCTTGGATCTTCTTTACAGTATTAAGGTATCTTGTTCCTTGCAGATCAAACGAGAGCAAAGCCTATCCACTGATGTTAGGAGATACTGTTTTTGACATCTATTGCAACATGACCGTGGCCCCTACTGAAAATGACACATGCGGAGTTGGTGGATGGACGCTAGTTTTGAAGATTGATGGAAAAAATGTATACGCACTTCCAATATTGCTCGTTTCTTTTTTAAATCAAGAAACTGACTATTAGTTATTGTTTTGCTGATGATGATGATTAATGAAAGGACGTACGGGTTTAAAGGGTCGCAGTGTAGAACCTCGATTTAACCGCGACCCAACCGCGATTTAACTTATCCATTGTTGTAATTGTGACCTTGAAGTCATTTAAGGCCACAATGCNGATTAGTAGTTGACGAACCAACCACTCGTTACTGGCAATTGAACTGTAGATTATCGTCCTTGGATCTTCTTTACAGTATTAAGGTATCTTGTTCCTTGCAGATCAAACGAGAGCAAAGCCTATCCACTGATGTTAGGAGATACTGTTTTTGACATCTATTGCAACATGACCGTGGCCCCTACTGAAAATGACACATGCGGAGTTGGTGGATGGACGCTAGTTTTGAAGATTGATGGAAAAAATGTATACGCACTTCCAATATTGCTCGTTTCTTTTTTAAATCAAGAAACTGACTATTAGTTATTGTTTTGCTGATGATGATGATTAATGAAAGGACGTACGGGTTTAAAGGGTCGCAGTGTAGAACCTCGATTTAACCGCGACCCAACCGCGATTTAACTTATCCATTGTTGTAATTGTGACCTTGAAGTCATTTAAGGCCACAATGCCATTAGACACCTTTCTGTTTCAATTTTTATCATACAAAACCGTTGATTCTCGTGGATAACGAAACTCGTTATAACAAAACTTAATAACATGCACTTCCCTCCGGAACTGATTCCAGCGTTACAAAACGTGTGGATGTGTGGCGCCCTTGTCTTTATTAGACTTTTCTTTTGCACTGTGTGCGCTCTTGTCTGGTTCTTCAGGAATCACAAATTCACTTTAAAAATAATGCTCGGTAATTGAATGTAATAATCCTTGATTCCTCTGAGAGTGTAAGAGTTGTTCCTTACCGTAGCTACGGAGGTAAAAAGTCGAAGAGATTCAGAGTTTATTGTCTCTTAAGAACTCCCAGTGTAGTCTTGTGAACTTAAAGACGCTTTTAACCATTGCCGGATGGTACGTTTGTGCAATTGACGATCAAAGGGTGAATTCCAAAGAGTTCCCATGATTCGGTGAATAACTTAACATGATACGGAACGTCTTTCTTTGTAACTGATTTACCTCTGCTTATTCTTTCTATTTTTTCCTCTGATAGGATACATGCTATCATTAATCTCTTTTTTTGAAGGAGGAGGTTGTAGCCTATAATCTTTTCTTTCTAATTACATTTTTTCTATTTCTCGTTCTTTTTATATCACAGAAAACGTTTCACTACAATGCAGACATTTGGAGCAACAAAGAAACCTTTAATCATATTGGAGGAAAGACTGGGTTTGATTCGCAAGAGACCAAGCTTCCCTCTTACTGGAACACATCCTTCTCCAGGATCTGCTTCGGTATGAAGATCGGTGACAACCAGCCCAAGTTTATTGTTATCAACAAGCGGGCGAACTCCTTGTACTCTTTGATCTCTGATGGGAAATACCGCAGCACCTCACTGGGTCGTGAAACGTGGAAGTCGCTGATTGGTTCTGAAGCCTCGTTGCAAGACAACTGTAACAGGGAAGGATTTAACACCAAGAGTGACCGTGAAAAAGACAGCAAAGCAAGAATCGGTATCCTTTTTAACAATGAAAACGAATGCAAATCCTGTGATTCCAGGATCGGGTTTGGTACTGGTGGATATCCCGACGACTCCAACACATGTGGAAATGAAGCACTATTTGCGCACGAGGCTGATAATGGCGACAAGCACATTAAGGCCATGGGGTACATCTTGGTGCAATGAACACAAAACAACACAGAGGAAACATATGTTTGTCAAAGTTTTTTAATTGTCACGATCACATGCCATGTGTTTTCATACATCGGGAAATTGGCCCATACATCTCTGTTGTCTGATATGAGTTGCAGTTTGTATGCCAACCTTAAACATGCTTTAAGATAGTAATAGATTTAGATGTATTAAGGTGGCTCGACTGGATTTTTTGGGGTTGATACCTCCCAAGTTTGAGCATTAACTACGTCGGCATGAGTAAAGATATGGAAAAAAGGTTACCACAACTGTATTATATAAAGATGAAAATTTCTTATGATCTGGGTTTTATTGCAATCGGAGTCGCCATGGCAACGTAATGACGCCATTACGTTTTTCATTTATCGTTGCGTTTCTCTGTACCAGGAGTTTTTTGAAGAAATCGCTTAAGGGAGTATGTGCCTGCCATAATTGCCTCCATTATGGCAAAGTTTGAAGAAATTCTATGAGAGCCTTTTTGAGATATTTCAAAATGCAGTTTTAAGAATCATCAAAGCAGTGAAATAGCATGCTAGCCGTTCAATTCGCTAATATTTTAAGAAAATGATAAGCTTTGGGAACGCGGCTTCATCTCATAGTGGATTGATTCCATTGAAAACTGCATACAAAAGAAGAGGAGAATTGCTCAGAGCGATCGCGTGTAAGAAGAATTTTATTAACTTGCATTCAGATGCTTTTGATACAGTTTTTGGAGGTAATTTGTTCCATGCCTAAAAATTTCGCATTTTTCCAAAAACCGCTCGATAAATTTTTTTATAAATTCGACAATCCCGAGATCAATCGTCAAGAAATATTCCCTGCAAGTTTCAAGAACACTGAAAACAGGGAAGGCTTTTAAATAGGGACTCAAACATAACCAATTTTCCCCCAAGATTTTGTGTTTACAAGTGAGCGTTCTCATTATTCACTGGCATTGTTTTCAAGTTTCATATGCACGTGCACAACTAGCAAAAGATATAAATTTGCATCAAAAAGAACTCTCGATTACGTTCCGAAGAAATATCAGGTATATGCTAATAATTGGCTTGTCGTCACAGATAGCAGTGAGAGCCGAAACGGTGAACGTCACGGCTCATCGTGTAGGATGCAATACTTAACTATCTTACTCGGGTTGTAACATCACAGAAACTCTAATACAAAATACAATAGTTTATTGACACTCCCCTGGTGGGGCTTTTCAGTGACAATGCGACTACTAATTAAGATAAGAGAAGTAGTTAACAATTCAATTAAAAAGGAAAGAGTGCGGTGAACAAAAGCAATATAAACATACCTATTCAAGAGTTAATCGAATAATAAATATTCTCACTACGTACTATACAATATGCATATTTTAAAGTTAAAATTATAATAAAATAAGATACTAGTAAGATACTAAAATACTATCATAACGTGCTATTTAAAAAGTCAGTAATCAATTTATTATTCAAATAAAATTTAAAAGTAGAAATCGATTTTGCAGTTTTAAGAGTACTGTCTAGATTGTTCCAAATGTGCACCATACGGTCGTGGAATGTTCTCTGTCCGGTACTCGACTTATACTCTCACAAAGACTTATAACTCTCACAAAGAGTTGCTCTGATGTTATAATGTATCACTAACCTCTTTACCCGTTAATTAGCATATCCCGGAGATTTAACCGAGGATCCTTTTTGATGCAAATTCTATCTTTTTGCTAAATGTGCACGTGTATATGAAACTTGAAAACAATGCCAGTGAATAATGAGGACGCTCGCTTGTAAACACAAAATTTTGGGGAAAAATTGGCTATATTTGAGGCCCTATTTAAAAGCCTTTCCTGTTTTCAATGTTCTTAAAACTTGCAGGGAGTATTTCTTGACGATTGATCTCGGGATTGTCGAATTTATAAAAAAATTTATCGAGCGGTTTTTGGAAAAATGCGAAATTTTTAGGCATGGAACAAATTACCTCCAAAAACTGTATCAAAAGCATCTGAATGCAAGTTAATAAAATCCTTCTTACTCGCGATCGCCCAGAGCAATTCCCCTCTTCTTTTGTATGCAGTTTTCAATGGAATCAATCCACTATGAGATGAAGCCGCGTTCCCAAAGCTTGTCATTTTCTTAAAATATTAGCGAATTGAGCGGCTAGAATGCAATTTCACTGTTTTTATGATTCTTAAAACTGCATTTCAAAATATTTCGAAAACGCTTTCATAGAATTTCTTCAAACTTTGCCATAATGGAGGCAATTATGGCAGGTACATACTGCCTTAAGCGATTTCTTCAAAAAACTCCTGGTACAGAGAAACACAACGATAAATGAAAAACGTAATGGCGTCATTACGTTGCCATGGCGACTCCGATTGCAATAAAACCCAGATCATAAGAAATTTTCATCTTTATGTAATACAGTTGTGGTAACCTTTTTTCCATATCTTTACTCATGCCGACGTAGTTAAGGCTCAAACTTGGGAGGTATCCCGCTAAAAAAATCCAGTCGAGCCACCTTAAGATACTTACTTACAACCTTATGTTTTAATATTTTTTCGTGGATTTCTATACTGCAAAAGAAGAACAAGTAGTGTGGTCACTACATTTCTTAACACACCTACAATATATGTAAGAAGCCATAAACAATAGTTATCACGTGTTTACATGAATTACATGTCGGTTCATTATTATACCTTTCTCGGAAACTTAGGGGAAAATGTTGGCTGAGGGGAGGGGTAGGTGGGAAGTTTCCCAGAAACGTAAAATGATCGAAAATGTCTTGGTAAATGTTATACCCCGGATGTTATACTATTGATTGTGACAGTGAAAATACTGGATTTTTAACCAGGGCCAACGCCGCTCGTTTCCAGGGCCAACCCGCTCAGGTAATCGGGCTCTTAGGCTACGCTTGCACGGCAACGGATGAATTTTTGACCAGTTTGAAATTCATTTGTTTAAATTTAATTTTTTGTTATTAATAACAAAAAAAGAAAATCACAAAACAATTACAGTAATTGCCAAATTTACAGAAATTATTATCTAACATTATCTACTATCTACCACATATTTTCTAAAAAAAAGGATAAAGAAGAAAAAAAAAAATTATAGATAATAATACTAAAACAATAAAAACAGAAACTACAGCAACAACAAGAAACCTTACACACAGGTCGCAAAAGCGTATTAAAGGAGATGTTGAGAGGTGTTTTCAAGGGTGATAGTATTGTTGTTTCCAAAAGCTATTTCTTTCTGAGTACTCAACCTTTCACGAAGAAGAATGAGAAAAGTCTCAAAAGAGATCTTTTCGTCGTGTAGGCAGCTGCAACATTTTGGTTTGATATTCATCCGTTCAAAACGTTCACACGAAATTACCTTGACCGTGCGAAAATTTAGACGCCCAGCCAAACCAAGTTCCGTGTAAACAGAGCGAATATATTGAACAGTTTCTTGTGAACAAAGTGTTCAGTCAATCTTTCTTACAGCTGGTCGAAAATTCGTCCGGTGTTTTATAAAAGTAGACTTAGGCTCTGGATAGCTTTTGCGCCGCCACAAAATTCATACCGAATAAGGCTTCTGTTCACACAAGAACAATTGTGGCGGCAGTAGACCTTTTTACCGATACGGCGGCCATATTGAATTTATTACATTTAAGGAGTATTATGGGATGCCCAGGCAGCACTAGGTCAGTATTTACGCGCGCTTTTCGGGCAAAGAGGACTTTAATGTATATTTCTCGGGAAAAAGGCGATCATCATTACGTCCAAACACGGCCCAACGATCTTTTTTTCCCATTACACTGTACAATCTTTTTCTGGGAAAACTTAAAGAAAAATTGTCCCGAAAAGCGTACGTAAAAACTTGTATACATTACATAACTAAGTGAGTAAAATAAGAATCAAGTCTTTCTTTGGAAAATAAATGAAAAAAAAAAAAACCGATTTTCACACTTAAAAAAATAATTATTTCGTGTGTGAACTACCGGACGTTACATGTCAAGCAACCGGACGTTTCGTCCGGCGTCCCGCCTGAAACGAAACCCCTGCTGACCCGATTTCAGACCAAAAAATGTAATTATCCACACTCGTTTTCAGACTCGGACCTCTAAAATCCACACCCGTTTTCAGACCTGGTCGTTAGGCAGAAATTATCTAATCATTACTTAGATTAGGGCGCAAACACAAAAATTAATCAAATATTATTTGGGATTCACATATTTCTCTTTCTTTAATTATTCATTTGGAATTGAACCCCCACCTCCCCCCGCCCCACTACACTTCAAAAGAGGTGGATCAGTCCCCGCACTTTGAAAACTACTCTGCGGGTCCCGACTTGAAACTGATATTGCTATTTTCTTTCCATCGTGTAGTTAATTTCTGAACGGGTTTGTCAGATGGACTCTTCAAAAACGCTTCATTTTAATTTTCTTTAGAGGCATGTAGTTATGGGGATGTGTAGAAAGGGACTAATCTAAATGTTTAGTCTGTTCCATTTGCAAGGAGGAAGAAATTGAAGAAATCCATCAAAACAATGGATTAAAGCAGGAAAAAAAATTACGAAGGTTAGAAAATTTAATTTTAAACTGTCAAGCTTATTGTCTTAAAAGGCACTCAGCAGGTTGAATTTATGACAGAACCTTTGTGGAGGTGTGCATGAGTTCTTTCAAACTTTCGACAAAAATATTCTAGCATTTGTCATTATGTTATTTGTTCTTATTTTCTGGTTTGCTACTGAGTTGTTATGTCCGGTTCACGGACAATTCTGCAGTCCAGCTGGAGGTTAGTTAAAAAAAATGAATTTTCAGGGGCACCCAACGAGAATATAGTTCAAAACCACTTAAACATAGCATTGTTAAACGTATTTTAGTATTTAAACGGTAGCTATAGGCATATTTTTATCCCCTAAAAACTCTTCATCTGTTCGGATTTCCTAGCTGAAAGTCTAGTTATCCGAAAATTATAGCGATCAAAACTTACCTTTTCGAAAATTTCAGCCAGAAAAAAGGCTCCCGAAAAATTCTAG